AAATGATTTATGCTTTAATAAACATTAATGTCACAAAATACCCAACTACAGAATCCTTTAAAAAAAACACACAATTTAGACCCCAGGTAAGAGGAGTGAGAGAGAACATGAGATGCATGACAACACACACTTTTTAGTTACACCCAATTCGATAACACATATATACTTGTGTGTAACAAGTCACAACACATGCATGAGATGCAATGTTACTTTCTTCCACTTCGTGTATATTCTCACTGGCTTAAGTCTTGAAAAAACTTTTTAGGAAAAATAGGAAAAACAAATTATGTAGGTTAATTTTGTGAAAGATGACAATAGTTGATGTTCAAAGGTTTAATTAATCCTTTACAACTCGTAACCTTCCACCACAGAAGGGTCCTTCTTAAAAAGTTGCACTTATCCACAAAGTCGTGTCATATTTTGTTAAGTTCAAAATTACTTATATTATAACCTTGAACATGAAGACAAAACTTATTAAATGCTAGGCAAAGTTTGATTGCAAAATAACTTTAGTAATCAGAGTGAATTTCACTATTTGTTTGGCTTGGTCACTGTCGTTATTGATATATCCTTCAAACTAATTCAAAGAGTTCACATAATTATGTGCATCGGAATGAGTTGAAAGAACAGGAAGTATTATTTCTCCTTTTATTGTACCAGCTTGTTCGGTTGTAATAGTCTCAGTGTTGATAGTAAAATTAAATCACCGTTTTTTTTCCTATAAAAAGCATTTTATTACCAAAAACAACTAGTTTTTCAAGGTGATTGATTGACGCAATGATTGTAGTAATAGTAACTCATCTATAGGGTGTAGTTTACAAAGGTTATTGTCTGTGTCTTTTAATTGCTAAAATTAACTACGGTATTGTCGTCTTTTACTATTCATACTTGTCTCAAAATTTTAGATCACGGCCTACAGCTCATAAGAAATTGTTTCCAAATTAACAGAAAATAACAAATATTGCGGCCACATTTTTGCATGAAAAACTGTCATTTATATTTAATACACGTTTGTTTCCACACAGCCTGTAAGTAATGCAGATTTTGTTGTCCCGGTAGAAATTGATGGAACAGTACATCAGGTAAAGGTCACCTCTAGAGGGCGCATATTAGTTTTTATAGAAGTCTGAAATCTTGCGAAAATATTTTTGTATTTTCGTTTTTTCATTGATTACATTTTTTTCTCAATTTGTGCGAATACATACATTTTATTAAGCACATTACTATTGTTGTAGATGTGTGGGACAATTTGAATATAAAACGTGTTTGGGAACGCAATTAAAAAATTCAAACATAAAAAACGAACAGCGAGCTGTAACAAACGCCAGTATTCAGACACACTGAAAAAATGTTTAGGACATGTGTGTCTACTGATGTTTATTCGTGCCATGAAATTTAATACTCGCAATACATTAGTAAGTATCGTCACAGAGTGCAACTTCAGGTTACGAGTTTGAATTTAACGCTTTCGTTTATGTCTTCCAGGTTTATGTTCTGAAAAGGCCATTTGTGGATGAGTTTTTACAGAAAATGGGTGAATTATTTGAGTGTGTTCTATTTACAGCTAGTCTTTCAAAGGTGAGTGAGTCATCGTATTGACCAACCATCTACATTGATAAGAAAGTCTGTTCTTGCTTTCATCACAGATATAAATCACCTACTTTCTCCAATTGTGTCTGAAAAAAAATACAGTTTTCACTGTGTACCTGCTCCTCTTACTCAATAATTAAGAGAAAAGTATGTTTCTACTATCATTATAACTATGACTCAATTGTCTCACTGTGGGAGAAAAGCAGGTAGTAACAGTATGTGTGTGTTATATTATATTGTCATGTGATTTGTGCAAACAGGATTTGATATTCACACCCAGCTGCGTCTTCAGGATTGTTATTTTGCTTGTCTGGCATTCACATTTGTTAAGATATGTGCCACCCTATTACTGAGAAATATACAACACTGCATTGTAAAAGCTGCTTATTTCATAAGACAAATTTTTATGAATATAGATAGCCGGAGGGGGGGGGGGTATTTTATTCGCATATGTCTACATTACATCATTACATTTACATTATGCATTTGAATTTTTTTCAGCCACACCATTTTTATTTCAACACCTACCTGAAGAGATGCGGTAGATAATGTAGATGCCCATTATTTGTAATAATTGTTTCTATTTTTTCCTCAGTATGCAGACCCTGTTGCCGACCTGCTTGATAAGTGGGGTGTTTTCAGGGCTAGGTTATTCAGGGACTCGTGTGTATTTCACAGAGGTAATTATGTTAAGGTAAGACTGAAGTTTTTTTTTATTTAAAAAAAAAAAATTACGATTCTCAAATATTAATAACATTCCATTAAAAGTTTAATAGAAACCATTAAAGCGCATTTAAAAATTCATGTCATCACATCTTGCTTCAGAATTTACGTTATTTCATCAGCTATGAAAATAAGGATGGAATCAGATATTCATTAAATAAAAGTGGCTATTTCCTATCTAAATTAAAAAAAAAATTCAATTTCTTGACAAAATTCTGCTGTCAGATTAATGTTTCCCAATTAAGACAAATAATCCGTATATGTCTAATCTTGTCACAGGACCTTGGTCGACTTGGACGGGATTTAAAAAAAATTGTCATTGTAGATAATTCTCCAGCTTCTTACATCTTCCACCCAGACAATGCAGTAAGTAACTTTATTTGTTATTCTCAGTTGCCATCTGTGTCAACAATAACTATTTATTTGTTCATTTCTTCTTTGCGCTGTAACTTAGTGTGGAGATATCATACATGTCTGTGTGTCTTCACTGGCTATGGCTGTGTTTGTCATTAG